GCTGCCCCTGCCAAGAGCCAGTCACTGAGTGGAGAAGTTGGGGGGCAGCAGATGGCATAGTGCTTACGTCGCTGGGCTCCCACAGGGCCCACTGCGGTTCAAGTCCCGGACCTGCTGGCTTGAAAATCATGCCTGACTTGTGTGCCCAAGATCCCAGGAAGAGGATGGAGGAGAAGGGACTGTGGGCCACCCCCCTGGGGGCTCCTTCCTCCTCTCCCAGCTCCCAGGGTCCCAGGGAGGCTCTGTCTTCCTCTCCCAGCTCCCAGGGGAGGCTCCTTCCTCCTCTCCCAGCTCCCAGGACCCCAGGGGAGGCTCCTTATTCCTCTCCCAGCTCCCAGGGGGCCCCAGGGGAGGCTCTTTCCTCCTCTCCCAGCTCCCAGGGACACTAGGCATCCCTTGGCTTGTGGCCGCGTCACTCCAGTGTCTGCCTCTGTCTTCACGTGGCTCCTCCTCTGTGTCTGCGTCTCCTCTTCTGTCTCATATGGGGACCCCGGCCACTGCATTTGGAGACCGCCTAACCCAGGATGTTTGTATCTCAAGACCCTCCCCTTAATTCTATCTGATTCTGAGCACACACACACACCCCCGGCATGATTGTCAAGCCACTGGGACTGGGATTCGAACTGCGGTCGACCGTGTGGGAGTCCAGCACCTTAACCACTATGCCACCTGCTGGCCCTCGCCCAGTGAGTTGTTCAAGCCACCCTGTGCGGGACTCGAACCTCACAGCCGGCCATGCGGGACCCAGTGCATTAACCTCCATGCCGCGTGCTGGCCCCGCCGGGCTCCGGGAGCTGTCACTCCATTCATCTGAGCCGGAATGTCTCTCCCTGCAGGAGTGGATCAGAGACACCCAGAATGTGGCCCCCGTGAGCAAGATGGAGTTCCAGGACCAGGAGTGTGAGCCCGTGGGCGCCCTGGTGGTCCAGCCAGCCAAGACGGAGGTGGGGACACCCACGACCGTGGGCGAGGGCGAGGCTTCCGGGGGGCCCCTCCCGCTCCCTGGCCAGCTCCCCCGAGGCGGGGACGTGGTCTCTGTCGGGGGCTTTACGTTCGTGGTGAGCGACAGCTCGTACGTGACACTGTGAAGGCACACGACCTTGGACGGAATGTTCCGGGTGCTCCGTACCTTCATGGAGGGAACACCTGCACCCGTGACGCTGGTGTCGGAGTCCTGGAAGATCCCAGACCCCAAGGAATGTGTCCTGTGACAACGGCCAGCCCACTGACGTCTCTGCGGGAGACCTCGGTAGTGGACTCGTTGTGGGGGGAGACATTTCTTCGGAACACTTGCTTGCTTTCGGTTTCCACCTCTGCTGTTCCCTAACTTTTAAAGGAGGAGGAGGACAAAGCCTTGAAGCCCCCCTCCTCTGTCTGTGCCCACCTCCCGCCCTCTCTTTCTGTTACTCCCACCTGCGGATGGCTGTGCGGCTCTTTTGTTACACGGCACGTGTACCCAGCCAGCGCGGCAGGGCATGCCCGCGTAGGGAGGGGAATCCTGCTTTACAAACACAAAGGAGCAGGGCGGGGCGGTGGTGCAGCTCGGAATGCGACGTGGCCAAGTTCGGGGTTCATATCTGCTGACGCCCTGGAGTTCTCTGGGCTCCTGTGCACCTGGTTCAGGGCGGCCTGAGGCTGGAAGCGGATCTGCGCCAGCAGTGAGCCAGCCTCTGGCATGCTGGCTGAGGTGTCTGTCTGAAGTTTGCAGTAATGAGTCTTCTGGTTTTCGGGGGTTTTTGCTATAGGGCGTGTGTACTTGCCAGAAAGAGAGACAGAGACAGAGAGACAGAAAGCGAGAAATCACTCCCCCGGGGGGGATGGCCACGCCGCAATCCCTTCTCCTCTATTCTCCTCTCGGGATCTTGGGCACACACATGCACCTGGCATGAGTTTAAGCCACCGGGTCCGGGACTTGAATCGCGGTCCACTACATGGGAGTCCAGCGACATAGCCATGAGGTCATCTGCTGGTCCTATGAGTTTTTATTTTATTTATTTATGTATTTTTTTGGGGGGATTTTTTTTTCTTTTTGCCATAGGATGCATGCACTCACTGGAGACATAGAGAAAGAGAAAGTGAGAAATTGTCTCCCAGAGGGGATGGCCACGTTGCAGGCCCTTCTCCTGTATCCTCCTCTTGGGATTTTGGGCGCACACACGCATGCACACACACACACACGCACACGCACACATACACACAGATGCGTGTGCGTGCCTGACGTGAGTTTCAAGCCAGTGTGTCCGGGACTTGAACCACCGTCGGCCAAGCCGTAGTCTAGCCTCTTAACCACGGCACCACCGACTGGCCCCACGTAAAAATGTCTGCGATACCCAGACCCTGTGGGAGGTGCCCTGTCTAAAAATCACTCATCGAGGGAAAAAAAAATGAATAAAGTTAAATAAAAATAAAAACAACGGTGGGCCATGGGCCAGGTGGCGGCGTGCAGGCTAACGTGGCCGGATCCCTCGTGGTGGAGTCTGGAGGTTCGGATCCCAGACCCAGCGGTCTGAGAGGCACAGCAGGTGCGTGTGCGTGCGTGGCCACGATCCCGAGAGGGGAATGGAGGAGGAGGGCCTGCGACGTGAGCATCCTGCCTGGGGGTGGTGGGGCGGCGATTTCTCATTTTCTTCTCCTCTCTGTCGGTCTGTCTGTCTGTCTGTCTGTCTCCGGTGAGCGTAAGTGCCCCTGGCTGGCTTCTAGTATCATTTTAAAAATTTGCTGTAGGTCGCGAGACCTCACTGCACAGAGAGAGAGAGAGAGAGAGAGAGACGCCAGCTCCGGGACTCGAACCTTGCCTAGCCTTGTGGGAGTCCAGGACTTTAACGACCACACCACCCGCTAACCGCAGAAATACGATGTTCAGCTTGACTCTGGAGGGGGTTCTCAGGCCGAAGCCTACGCCGGGCCCAGTGTATGGCTTACCCAGGGTGCTCCATGGGGTTCGTTGGCTCATGGAAAAAATCCAAGTCACCACAAGGGTGGGGTCAGGTCAGGCTGACGGTCAGACCGTCCGTCAAAGCCAGTGTGCAATATGGCTTCGCTTTTGCCCCATACAGCGGGTTCCGCTTGGCTGTCAGCAGTTCAAGTCCCAGCCCCGGAGCCTGAAACATGTCGGGTGCGTGTGCGGGTGCGGGTGTGCCCCAGATGCTCATGAGATGGGGAAGGGGATTGTGGCATGACCGCGCCCCGTTGCTATTCTCTCTGTCTCTGTCTCTCTCTGGTGAGCACATGTGCTCTTTGACGATTCCAAAAAATAAATGAAAAAAAAAAAAAAAAGGACCATGCGATGAAGCCCTTGGATTTACATCCCCACATTATAGTGTTTATTTAAAAACGATTTATTTTACATGCATTCACTGTAGGTCTTTATACGGGACCAGGTGGAATTTCCCCACCCAGAACACACTAGAAATTGGCTCAATCCAAGATAGTACCATACCTACTTTTTAAAGAATAATTGTATTATTATTATTATTTAATTTGACTGCAGAAAGACAGGGAGGGAGGGAAAGTGAGAAAGCAAGCCGCCAGGTCCGGGACTCAAACTGCGGCCCGCCATTGGGAGCTCAGCGTGTCTTAACCCCCACGCCACCTGCCGGTCCCAGCAAACCTACCTCTTGAACAGCTAATATTCCATCGAGTGTTGAAGTATTCCGCGTCTTTCTTTTCCCTCGATCCCCCTGTCCTGCCCCGTCTCCGGCCCTCCTCCCATGCCGTCTCTGGTTCTCACGGTGGCTCTCCACGTCTTTAAATCACTTTTTGTATCCCACGGCAGTTACGAAACAATGTTAGCTTTTTAGCTTTTTGCTACAGGGCGTGTGTGCTGCCCACAGAGACAGAGAGAGGGAAACTGAAAAATCGCCCCCCGGGGAAACGGCCACAGCGCACACTCTTCTCCGTTCTCCTCTCGGGATTTCGGACACACACACGCATGAACACACACGTGCACCTGGCATGGTTTTCAGGGTACCAGCTGTGCAGAGTCAGCCACGTGGGAGTCCAGCACTTTAACGTCTGTGCCACGGGCCGGAGGGGCAACTGTCCACGTTTCTGAGTGGCCGTGAGATGAATGATCCGGTCAGGGCACTGCGCACGGGCACCACCTCCAGTTCTCATCATGTGTCCCAGTATGGGCCTCTCAAGATGCCCTCGCGGGACCAGCAGGTGGCGTCATGGCTCTGTCGCTGGACTCCCATGTAATCGCCCACGGTTCGAGTCCCGGACATGGTGGCTTAAACTCATGCCAGGTGCATGTGTGTGCCCAAGATCCCGAGAGGAGAATGGAGGAGAAGGGATTGCAGCGTGGCCATCCCCCTGGGGGGTGATTTCTCACTTTCTCTCTTTCTCTCTGTCTCTGTCTTTCTGGAGAACGCACATGCCCTATAGCAAAAGCCTCTCCAAAAAAAAAAAAGAAAGAAAAAAGATCCCCTCTCCCCTCGCACGGTCCCTTGAAACGTACAGGGCACGCCCGTCAGCGACAGCCACCCACCCGCCACGACTCTGAGCGGGCTGTGTGTCCCCTCGGGCATGCCTGACGTGCAGACCTGCGTGTGTCTGAGCACTGCAGCACGCACACAGCGGGGACCGCGCTCGAGAAAGGCGTGGGTCACAGATGCTATCTGTCCTTTATCGCCCGTCTCTGCACCTGGTGTTCCTCGGCCTGCCACGGTTATCACCCCGATCAGGGCGGAGGGGACCGTGACAGCTGAGCTGCAGAGACGGCTGAAGCCCAGGTGTGCGTGGCTCCCAGCGCCTGGGGAGGCACGGGCCACGTTCCCCGGCTAGAGTCCGGGCCATCAGGACAGACCCCTCAGTTTCCTCCGTGTGGGGCCGGCAGGTGGGGTGGTGGTTTAGATGCGGGGCTCCCGCACGGCCGACCACGGTTCGAGACCTGGGCCTGGCAGCTGGGATTCACACTCGGCGCGTGTGTGTGTGTGCCGGAGGTCCCGAGAGGAGAATGAGGAGAAGGGATTGTGGCGTGACCAACCCCCCGGGGGTGATATCTCACTTCCCCTCTCTGTCTCTCTCCCTATGGCAAAAACCTAAAAAAATAAAAAAGGAAAAGAAGGAAGGGTCTTCGACTCCCGGCAGGAACTTACATCCACGGGTGGTCGGCGCCTATGACGCTAGACATCTGGTTCGGGGAGCCACGTTTTCACAGGACACGGGAAGGAAGCTCCGGTCCTGCTGA